AAGGCTTTTCTAAAGCCTTTGACTCAGTTTGACAAATCAGTTCCATTAACCAGAAAAAGGCCGTAAAGGCCTGAAACTGGTAGCAAAGACAGCTTGGAAGAAATGGAACACGAACTTTCCGTTTGGATATTCCGTCCAGAAAAACAGGACTACCCTTTTCAGATGTTCCTTTGCTCCTGGAACGACCCAAGTCGTGTTTCATTTGCTTTCCAACCGTATTTCCGCAACCCTTTTGTAAATCGTAAAAAAAAAACAGTCATTATTCACGCGCTTACGCTAAAACCAACATCATCCTGTGTTGTGTGCAGTTTTTTCTTGGTGCTTGTTTGCATGAAAGGAAAATTAACAAGGTGCAACGGTGTTTTGTTTACTGTCGGTTTACCTTATAGGAGCTCTTAGAAGATCCTACGAAAATGATCGCTTTTAGCTTAACTTTTATTTAACTTTCACATTTTGCCGCCCTGGCCTTCTCCTCCCAGCTCTAGCATAAACACCAACCAGCCCAATCCACACATACTGATACGTTTTCTCTAACAACGCCAAGGGCTTGCTCTCTAAAGTAGCTCAGTTCAGGCTCGTCTCCAAAACAGGTTTGCAGAATCGGAATCCCAACCGACAAAGTCAAACACCATTGTAAATACTGGTATTTTAATGAGATTAAATAAAGGTTTCATCTTCTGCCCTTCCTCATGCTGCTGTAATTGTGTACTCACTCCTTAATAAGCAGGGCATAATTTCCGAAACAGCTTTGGCTGTGCACTTTAAACTTCTTTTCTTCTTTACGAGCGTTGACTCAGTCTGCAGTAATGCCGGGCATACTATCCACGCAAACAAATAGAAGCGTTTTTAGCCCTGATGCAACTTGTCGCGCAAAACCCAACCTGTGCCCGTGGAACCCGTTCATTTAAATTCCGGCCCATCTGTAGTTCCGCGGGGGAACTCGTTGTGCATGTACTTGTGAAGTTAGTATAAATTGACCTGTTTTCATGCTGTTCAATTCCTCTCTTCGTTAAAACGGACAAAAGACACCTAGTTTGTCGCCCCACCCACCTCCCCGCAGCGATGGCACACTCTGGCGCTTTAGCTCCCGCTCCTTCCTGCCTCCGGGTTCGCCTCTTCCCATAACTCATCCCAACCTTGGGGCGTTTGAGAGTGGGGGTTCCCAGTGAAAATTTATTACCATCTTAAGACGATTGTTTTTGTTTTGTGCGCTTAGAGATAAAACAAGGGGGGGGGGGGAGGGGTGATCTTCAATATAGCACTTATCCCTGTCGTAGTCCCTATAAAGTCAGTTTTAGCTTGCATAAAAGGCGTTATTTTGGACGCGTCTTTGAAGCTAGCGAAGGCAAGTGCGAAGCGAGCGAGGAACACCGGACACCGTCGCGCTTGTCTCAGCCTCCACGCCCGGCGTGGAGGCTGTTAAGTAGTCTAAGTTGAATCCTACCCATCGCCATTAATTTTGCGCAGACTTTTGGTGCTTAACCATTTAGGTCCCTAGAGTGGCCAACATTGATTTTCTCCTAACAACATCAGCGGATCATCAAGAGTAAAGGTTATAAGAATTACTAAATTGATTATCAAAGGGAGAATGCTTTTATCTTAAACCAAATTCTCTCAACTATTCTCAAAAGAAATGCAAGGAGATCGGTCTGGAGAATTTGTATGTGGATCTTGGGGCTTAAGGAGTTTAGACAGTGTTACACGGGACGATTCGCAACAAAAAAATTTTCAGCGCAGCGGAGCGTTGCAACATTGCTACGACACGTTTCAAATTTTACAAATTGTTCTAACTCATTTGTAATTCTGGCCGAATTGTTGAACCACGACAACCAAGAAAATGTTGCCATATTACTATAACAAAAAGTAGGTAAAATAATTTAGTACGGATCACAACAATAGCTTTTAACCTTTATTTCATCAAGGGCAAACTTAGCAC